GTTTAAATTCGATAAAACAAGCTATCGAAGTTGTTACTTCGACAGAAAATCTTGTCGAAGTTATTCCTAGCAATTAAAGAGGTCAGTAAAGTTGTATTTCAACAAATGATCATCATTTATTATCGCAAGTTAAAGAATTGTGACAACGAGAACCACATAATATTTTGCAATGCCTTCGACCGCTGAACTAGATTTTTTCACTAATTTTGAGTAATTACCAAAGACTACGACATCGTAGGTTCTCAAAAGTGCTATTTCTTTCACATTTCGATCGGCAAAACATTTCTTCTTTGCTTGTTGTACTGACAAAACAGTGTTTTCGTATCGGTCTGCTGTAAACAATGGATTGTTTGACGAGTCATTTTTCAATTTCGATAATTCAGTATTAAATCGCTCTTTTCGACTGGAAATATCACCTAAAACACTTGTTGTTGATAATGGTGATTTGCTTGATTCAGACATTGTTCAATTAAAACGTTTCAAATGATTGTGAATGAATAGAAATAACCGTCGAAGAAGATAAATAATACTGATTATCGATTCTATTGTATTCTTTGTTAGCATTATTATATGTATAATAGTTCGTTTTACTACCACTCAGAAAATAGCGCCACCTCCACAACTTCGACAAAATTTCTGTCGAAGTAACAACTTCGATAGCTGATTTTATCGAAGTTAAACTTCGATAACCGTTGTTTGAGCAATTACAGTACTTCGATAGAGAATTTTGTCGAAGTAATAACTTCGATAAGTTTTTTCATCGACACGAGAACTTCGATGGCTGATTTTATCGAAGTAGCAACTTCGACAAAACGTGTTGTCGAAGTAATAACTTCGACATTACACGTTATCGAAGTATTAACTTCGATGTCAATCTCTATCGAAGTATTAACTTCGACAAAAAGCTAACTTCGATACGACATATATACCGATCAAACGGTTGACATCGATAATATCATGACGAGTGAATAATCGAATCGAGCAGCTAATCATTGAAAGAAAATCATTTATATTCACGCCAATGCGTGGACTTTGCTGTTTCGTTGTGATTTCGGAGAACGTGACATTGCTTTCGAAGAAGCAGAAGGAACAATAATACTGATGATCTTTGAAACGACTGCATATTGTATGTATCAGTCAACCATTTCTTCGAATTAGTCATAAAAACCCTTGATTGTCAAAAACAATTTGAAGTATATCATCTGGGATTGTTTTCGAATACTCTGGTATCGTTATCACGGCACGGCTGTATTCTAAATTTTACTATCAATTTCTTGAATCGAATCATTGCTAGAATTGATCGAACGTGTGAAATTCTTCTTCAATCAATGCTGAAAGGCGTATATGAACGAATAAAATTTACTGCAGAATATCTTTCGTTATCCATTTCACGCTCTAACAGTGAAAAATCTTTGATTTCAATTAAATACACCGTGATTTATTTTCATCATGTATTATCCAATCGGTCTTATTGAAAAAGGATTCGAAAATCGTTTCTCTTGTTAATGAGTAAAACAAGGAAAAATCGATACTGATGAAAATGAAGCAGTCGAAGTTCTCGAACAATACATATTGGTATGGAAAACTTCATCATATGGACACTGGATTCCACCGTTATATGCATGTCGAATGTTTTCTTTACTTATGTTGGAATTAACCAGTACACGCGTGTTGTTCTCGTTCTGTTTACACTCAAACGCCACCATTAATTTCAATTCTCTCCATCTTTCTAGTTCCGTGATTGATCTAGTGCATACAAAAATCTTAACTAGTACGAAACTACAATACATTCGTAGGTTAGTGACCATAGATAGTTCGTGTTTTTTCATTCACTGCGCTTGTTCTTGTATGTCGATCTTTGAAAAAGTAAAAATGATTTGGGTGTCGAGCGCATGCATCGATCTGTCAGATATATGCCTGTTTGGAGAGAACGCAAAGAAAAATCGATAAACTCAACATACAGATAGAATACATATCGTTTGTAATGTTCTTTCAACTCAAACAGCTAATAAACGATAGGCTACTTTGAGTTATTTTAATCAATGTGTTCTCAGAACGAAATGAGACTGCGATTGTTTGATTTTTCCTTCTTTTCATAAACTCCGAAAGTTTTATCAACTAATTTCTTTGCCTGCGAACAGGCTTTTCTAGATAGAGAACGCGCACGAATTATGATATGTCGGGATAAGGATAAAAGTACTTGTTGATTCAATAATTTCATATCTGTTTCAGACAAATCTGACTGAAATCAACTAAGGCGTTCTCATTCATTGATATGGAAAAGAAACAAAAATTGAGCGAGAGCACTCTTTTTATTTACTAGCTCGATGGCAATCATCGAAATGAGATCGATGATTTAGTGAATACAACCAATGATGTGAAACTTTTCTCTGATCAAGATCAATGCATTGCCAAAATAGCATCCATTCCACCTAATAAACACGTGTTCTTGATTCTATCTGCGCATCAGTTCACGATTCCACTGATTTACCAACTATCGCAAATCAAATCGATTTACATTTTCAATTCAGTGGATTTTGATGGTGAAAATGAAAATGATTATCAAGAACATGTCAACAAGGAAAATATATTCGATGATAAACACTTACTCATAAAGAAAATCAAAAAAGAGATTAATTTACTTTTCAAACGATCCACACCGTTCATGGCATTTTCAAGAGTACTGATGATAGTCACACGGAGAAATCTTTGAAAGATTTATCAAAACAAAGTCAATATTTCATGTATATGCATTTGTTCATCGAAATCTTAGTGAAACATTTCGATTCAGAATCAGCAAAAGACAATCTAGTGAGTAAATGCCGAAAATTATGTCGTAATAATGAAGCTCAATTGAAATTTATTGATGAATTTCAACAACAATACGCTTTCGATCAAGCCATTCGATGGTATTCTCGAGACTGTTTCTTACATCAACTATTAAACGAAGCACTTCGTTATCAAGACTTCGATTCTATATTCCAAGCTATACTCGTATATCAACTCCATATGCTGATGTGAGATATGAAAGTTACGTGCAGGATGAACGAGAGGTTTTATTCTCGGTGGATTACATATTCGAAATCGATTCCGTGAGTAACGACAACCAAAATAATCAAATAAGTGTAGTCAAATTAACTGTAACTGAACAATATGAAGAAAAGAATGGACTGAAACTACTGCTTGATCATATGAGAATGAGAATTAACAATACTCGTTCGGATACATCTGCAATAGCATATCTTATGCAAGAAATGGGTTACTATGATAAAGCCAGATATTATTATGAATTAGAACGTAAAAATTTACCACCTCACTACTTTTTACATAGCGCCCTTTACAGCGATATTGCACACATCTTTGACTAACAAGGCAACTATGCTGAGGCATTGAATTATTACCATAACTCACTTCGAATTGAGTTAGAAAGCCCAATAAAAAACCATCTAAACATAGCGACACTCAACAGTAGTATTGGACCAATTTTTGTCACACAAGGCAAACACGATGAAGCTTTGATCCGTTTTACCGATGTGGTTCGTATCCAATTAGGTTTATTGTCTGAAAATGATATTAAACTTGGGACAACATACTCACATATTGGTAGAGTTCATCGAGATCATGGCGAGTTTGTTCGGAATCCTTGCCTAAAAATTATCCATCTGTTACAATCACATTAGGTAATATCGGAGCAATCCATTTGGATCAAGGAAACTACATAGAGGCTTTAAAGTTTTTTCAACAAGCACTTCAGATCAACCTAGAAATTCTCCCAAAAGATCATCCAAAGATCGCCACAGCATATCGCAATCTTGGTTGGATTTATGGCTAGACCAGTGAATATACTAAAGCTTTGACTTATGATGAAGAAGCTGTTAAGATTCAATTGAAATCGTTAACTAAGCATAATCTAGAATTAGGAGGCACATATTTCAATACTTCAGCTCCACATCAAATGCTGAGTAATAGCGACAAAGCTCTCACTTATGCCAAAGAAGCACTCAACATACTGTTACACCATTTCCCTGAAAATCATCTAAATATTGCAACGATATACAACACCATTGAGCGTATTCGTCGTCATTTTGGCAATAATGAAATGTTTACCGAAAGATCATCCGGATATTGCAATGTCATACAACAACATCGGAGGAGCTTATCATGCGCGAGGCAGCTACGTTGAAGCTTTCGGAAATTACGAGCAAGCACGGCAATTTGGAACAAGATGTTTATCTATAGATCATCCAGACATGGCAACGACGTACAACAATCTTGGAACAGCTTATGGAAAACATGGGAATTATACTGATGCTCTGAATTATTTGCATGAAGCACTTCGTATCTGGTCAAAATCCCCACTTGAAAATCGTCCACATATTGAGGTAGTATATGAAAAGATTGTTGAAGTTTATAACATAGTGAAGGCAAACATACTGAAGCGTTGAAAAGTTTAAAAAAAGCGTCGACAATTAGTTTGGAAATATTGCTTGACAAACTTCCAGACGCTACATGGATGAATGTCTCCGCAGAGAACTTTCAACAAGTTCAGGACAACTTTGATCTGGCTCTAAAATATTGCCAAGAAATACTTGCAGTTCAATTAAGAGCTTCACCTAGTGAACATCTGAGCATTGCAAAATCCACCGGAAAATTCTTCCGATTTAACACGAGCATACTGGAATCTTGGTCATCTTTGCAGTTCTCAACGAAATACAGCGCAAGCGTTCCAAGATTGGCAGACAGGGTTAGACGTCGCCACTCAAACATTGCAACAGTAGAAGACTAGCAAGATTAAGATTTCCCCCAGATGCATGCGTTGAAACGTTGTATATACTAGTTATTTATTTATCTTTCATTCGATTTATAAAGAATAAAACATAGAAGAAAAAGCATTTCATTACATAGAACGTGATTTGAAACTGCAATGAAAAAAGTTGCATAAGGTAACGTACAGTTGCTTTTAAAACTTGTCAAATTTCAGAACACGCCTGTTGCCCGTATCACAGACATACATATTCATATTCGAATCAAATGCAATACCTTGCGGATAAGACAGATGTGTCGTACTTGTACCAGCAGTACCATTTCCAGCAATAGTTATGCCTATTCGACTATTCTTACAGAACATCTGGACTCGATGATTATTTCCATCAACGACATACATGTTCATATAAATATCAAGTTTAACATCAGTCGGATCATGGAAACAACTGGAATTGGTGCATGAAGTACCCGGTAAACCTGCCACGAAAGAACCTTCAACGTCACCTACTGCCCAACGAGTTATGGACTGTCCGTCGTGGTTTACTATGAACAATTCATCTGATTTCGATGATGAAATATGAATGCTCCACGGTCCATTCAATTGTTTGGCTGAATTGCCTGCTGTTGTGTCTCTATTTATTACAAATTCACTAGTACTCGAATTCGAATCTGTTCGATAGCGTAAAACTCGTTGACAACTTCGGTCAGCAACGTACATAAATGTCTCACTAGGATCAAAGGCGAAGCCCCGAGGATAATACATTTGGTTCAGCGAACAACCACCTGAATCAGTTGTGCCTGCAATTGTTATCCCACTCGATGTTCCGTTTATGAACTTTTGTACACGATGATTGTTACTGTCAACTACGTACATATTTCCATGTCGATCAACATAAACATCTTCGGGATAGTTCAGCTTGAAACTATCGTTACCCTTTGATCCTGGAATCCCAGCAACAGTTATTGAATTAGTATGACCTGTTGGTAACCTCCAAACATATGCACGTTCTTTATCAACACCATACAGAGTATCATCCGAATCAATGAACAGATGTGTGCAGGATAGTGTTGACGATGAATCGCTACGTACTGTGCTACCTGCTGTTTTCCAACGCAAACTACTGGANTATAATCAATGGGGTTCAAGTTTAATACCAAATAGAAATAAAACAAAGATTATAGTTTCAAGTATTGACATTGCTTCATGGATTCAAAGAACAGTTTTAACTCGAAAAATACCATCAGATTTACCATTATCGAAAATTATGATGAAAACTGATATCGAAGGACATGATTCGATTGTATTAACAAATTTGATCTTTAGTGGAGTTTATTGTTCGATTGATTTAATTTATGGTGAACATTTTAATCAAGAATTTCAACATGCTGTGTCAATTTTGAAACAATACACAAATTCATGTAAAACAGAACTTATTCCATTAGATGATGAAAGTCATTTTATGATCAAATTACCATTTTTCTAACACGAATTATTTCAATGTACTCGAAATAGTGTTTTTTCATGATGTATTTTGTTGAGGATGGAAGATTCGTTCGTGTCATCACTTTGAGCTTAACCTTTTTGCAAAAATATCAAATAACTGCAGTGATATTTCAGTAACTGAAAAATATATCTAAGTTACAATGACGTGTTATCGCATATAAATAATTCCACTAAATTATAAAAGAATAAGCTTAATAAACGTTCTGGAATGCTAAAAGTACAAAAAACATGATTTCACAAATATCGAAGGCAATTATTCGTGACCAACTATTTCCGTTGTGTATCGATTGTTTCATCATCAGGAAAGACCCATACGCGTTGTTCACCTTTGGACAAATATGAAGTAAGTCCACTAGCTTTCAAATTCCATTTATCATCTAGGAATTCAAAATGTGTTAGACTGCACACACCAGGTCGAACTGAAGTCATATCCCAAGTCAAAGATTTCGTGTTCTCGTCCGTTGCCGTAATCTTCATTTGTTCTTCTTTACTAAGTGTAATAAATGCTCGTACACCTTCAATCAGTGCAGCTGCATGCGTAACAATCAAAATATTGCAGTCATCTTTATGATCGTCTAATATTTTTTGTAAAACTCGTTTTAATCGATCACGTAAGCGTTCACGAGATTCAACTTTTAAATCGAGATAATACTTCGCATCGAATACACTACGATAATTTTCATTGAAATAATCTCTATTCGGAACAATCTCAGATAATTGATCTAAAGTTCGAAAGATGTTCGTTTCCGTCCATTCGGGATTACTTATGTAAAACTCAGCAAATCCAGGCTCGATGAGAAGTTTAACGATTTGATCCGGTGCTGAATAGTCTTTGTTGACTAGTTTAACGATTTCCAATGCTGTTTGAATCGTGCGCACAAATGGTGAAGCATAAATATGAGTTATACGTGGTTGAAGCGAAGCAATGTATGTTCCAAGTTCCTTTGCTTGTTGAATACCATCAGGTGACAATGGAGGATCAGATGGATTTTGTGCTGTTTTACACCATGATGGATCAATTTGATCTATACGTTCACCATGACGAGCAAAGTAAATATTTTTTGTTGTTGACATTTTCGTGGGTACTTTCCTCTCAGTTCTTTATGTGGTGAATTATTAGGCTAATAGCAATTCTGATTCGCTGTTGGCTCTAAATACTGATTGGTTTCGAACAGGCGGTCGGCAATCTTATTTCTGCGAATCATAGATATTTTTGATTGATTATAATTTTTAATTTAAACATACTTATCAGTGTGAAACATAATCAAACAATTGTAGATATACAAGAGATGTCGCTTATGAATGACGACACACATGAGTTTTTTTATTCGACTGAGTTATACTTATTCGTGTTATCTAGAAAGAGAAGAGAAAAGAAAAGCAAAAGACAGTTTATCTAAACAGGAAAAGACATATATTCTCAAGTCCTTTTCTTCCTTTCATGATACAAAAATATCTTTGTATGTTACACACATATTAACATTATCTTTGGCATTGACTATACTGTCCGTAATACTGTAATGGCTTCGTCGAGCACAGAAGATGTTAATGAAAACGATCAAAAACCGAAAACTCGTTTAGTGAAATGTCATCCGGAGTTTCAGAAAAAGTTAGATGAAATGCACACACCAATGCCATCGGCAACTGCTTCATCATCATCGAAGTTTGTTATAAATTTCAAATACATTCATGGATATTCTTTTGTTTCTCTAGTCAACAAGGAAATGAATATAGTGTCTTAGATGAAATTAAGCGTATTCATCAGATCGTTAAAAATCATGGACAACAAGGTGATTTCGCTATGGAAATTAAATTTGGTCAATTAATACCAGTAAGTGCACAGGAAACTATAGACATACGAAAGATTGATGGATAAATTTAGTTGTACGGAAATGACCAAGTGGATAGGTTGATTGAAGTCTTAGCCATTGCTCGTAAAAATGGTTATGTAAACTATAATCTCAAGGACTTCTTTCAACAAGATCGTGATGAAGATATCGCAATTCGGTTAATTAAGACACGATGGTGAACATGAATATTGTCAATCTTTTTTGCATACATTTACTATTTATAATTAATAAAAGATAGACAAGCTTTCTTTTTCATCACGTGAAAACGATGCAATGCTGCAAGATTAATTGAAACGAGCGATAAATTCAGGTAGAAATAGTTAATATGTTTTCGCTTGAAGATTGTCAACGGAAATACTCTTTACTGAGTTGCTTAGCGAGAAACTTTTGTAGTCGGTACAATTTCTTCAGTGAAACTATACGAATGCTTAGAGTAGTAATATTAGATCTGTAGAGATGAAATCATCACCGCGTTTCCGACACTGTCAAGTAAATGAAGTGCATGGTAGATCGTATTTTTCTTTGTTGTGTTCATATTTTCTTCTATGAACATGCTGCGTGTTCAAATCTCAGTCTTCATCGCCCATACAGACAAAAGGAACAATATCAGAAATGAATCTGTTCATTTTCCTTTGAAAACTTTAATGAGATGGTTATTACTAAATGAACAGATTTGATGAACGGAATAGTCAAAGAAAGTGAAATATTTATTGTAAAAAAAAAAGAATCCATTCATTAGACAAGTACGAACTATGACATCACACGACTAGGAAGCACAACAACAACTCTCATACTCTTTGATTTATATCTTAAATCATCTTTTCAACAGTTTTCCATGATGGTCTTGCTGAAATTTTCTCCCACCATTTTCTAATATTAGGTTTCGATTCAATCAAATCCCCATCGCCCATTTTGAATAGCAAGGCCATACACGGTAAATGGAATAGATCAGCTAAAGTAAACACCTATCATCAGAATTAATATCAAGACAAAGAATGAATAGCATGAGAACTTGTTGTTTACTTGTCCTGCCATATATGGTTGTTTGCTGAGAATATTTTCGTAAACACTCAATTTCCCATTCAATTCTTTCCTGAAATCTGCTACTTTGCCTTCATCAGGTTCTCCTCGTCCAAGCAGTCTATTTTAAATGAATATTCTTCTGAAAATGTTTATAACGTGTATAGAAAAGCGTTTACTTTTTCACGAATTTCTCTCGAACGATACCAATCGCTGCTGGTTCGAAATTGAATGCTTCGATGTTGACCGCTTGCTCGAAGAGAAATCGAGATTTGATATCCCCATCGGGAATCAATTGATTGCCTTTCGTTTTGTATTTTTCTTCGAGATAACGACAGATAGCCCGTGACTCTGGATATTTGACATATATTTCCTTTTTGTTTCACTTTTATATGACTTACCATAGATTTTGAAGCCATCTTCATCAATCAACACAGGAAAGAGGCCAAACGGCTGTAATCCTTCCAAATATTTCCGTGACTAAACTTGCACTCATTTCAATATTAATCTATTTTCAATTTATCCTACTTTATGCTCACTCTCCATGAAGTTAATCGATTTAAACTCATATTTCAAATCCTTTTCCGCGAGCACTGCTAACACGCGCTGTGTATTCGGTGATAATGGTAGACCATATAGAACAATTCCATCCCTCGTTGACGGCTGAAATATGATGTGTGGAATCAAATGGTAGCAGAATATACAAATTTTTACTTCTGAATTACTTGATCTTGATTTTGACTCAGAGTATGTTGTGCTACTCGTCGAATTACCCATGTCTTTGAAGTAAGAAGAAATAAATGGATTGGAAGCTAAGACAGATGAATCCGATTTATATATATGACTAAAGCAAAATGCCTTGTCATACTATGCTGGTGCGAGCGTAATTTGTGATCCATCATCAACAGGCAGAAAAAAGCCTTGTCATGATTCTATCAGAGTAATTGATATAAACCTTCAATTAGGGCTATACTGACGTGCATGTGTTCGTGACACGGTGAAACTAGTAGTCATGAGTAGAAAGATTAAATCTGTAAGAATGTCAAGCTTATGCGTAATTACTGATATTTCAATACTGATAATATGAGACTTATCGTATTTTTTTTAATCCGAAAACGAAAGAAGAAAGGTATGAATGATTACTGATCGATTAACTTATCTGACGGTTCACTGAATAGTGCTAATATGATGCAGAGATAGTATTCACACGCGATAATAAATATGTAACATTCGTTCCGTGTCGAGCTGCGGATACAATTTCCATAAAAAACGAAGAAATTAATACTAATCGAAATCTTCATCAAGTTCTTGTTTCTAGTGCTGCATCTTACGAACTTCAAAGTCGATAAGAAGGGAAAGCACCAAGTGAATCGTGTACTACTTCAAACCTGATATTTTATATTAAAAACTTTCTTATGCAAATTATAATCAGATAAGTAACGCGAAAGTTTTCGAACTCCGAAAAATAATAATTGCAAAATCATCTCTCTCATGGTTTGAGTACCGATACGAGTTGCTGGAATATTTCAGTCACTGTCAGCATAAACACTTATTATGCACTATTTGTTTTTACGACGATGACATTGTTTGACGGAGTCGCATTTTGTTGACTCTTGTAAAGTAGATCGTGCTTGTATTTGGACATCATTCATTTGCGGTTGATTATGACTGGAATGTTGACTGCGTCTAATTGTTTTCAGAAACTCCTTACGAAACATCGTACCGGAAAGTGTATACATGTAAAAGCTTGTCGAATGTGCAAAGTAAGTTATTCCGGCAACAATCTGAGCAGCGAGGTTCTCTTGTGCCAATCGCAATGCGCCTTTTGTTTCGCTCGCAGTCGACGCCGAATATGCTCGATATGCAGAGACTGGTAGAGTGCATACAATAATCATTGATACTTGAGCTGTTAACATACGTAGAAGCTGCGAATCGGTCCGTTTTGTATTTTTATGATTTTCTATCGCTCTCGGAAGAATCTGTCGACGTTGACGAACGTTCGCTATTGTTAAAAAGCCAAATATGAGCATGCCAGATGATGGAATAACCGAATAAAATATCATATGCCAAATGCTTAGAAATACACTGTAAGAGCCTGGTGGGCCACTGCATTGTGACGAAATGTTACCGAATCGGTCTGTTTTAGTACTAATGCTGTAGTAAACGATCATGTGGCTGTAAGCAATGAAAACAAATAAGCTCGTGCATCCACTTGCCAATTTTGCTATTTTCAACGAGCTCATTTGACGAAATGATACATTCGATGAACTGTGTAAATAACGATCGATTGTTGCCAAGGTAATCAGCCAACAAGATACTGCTCGAGTAGAATAAAATGCATATGTTTGAATTCTACAGTAGCCTTCGCTGTATATACTTGGATCGATATTGTAAATATTCGAAAGAATACGTAATGGAATGATGATTAATATAACAAAGAAATTAAAGAGTGTTGAGGATAAGAAATAGAATGAACACGGTTGACCGCGCAGGGTAGGTCGAGCGAAGACAAAGACATTAAACGTCAGACCGACGATGCCCAAGATAAAATTAACCACTGATGAGACCATGAAGATTACTACCGCGGCTGTACTGAGTTGTTGAATTAAAATATCGTCGGATGGCATAGTATTAGTGTGTATACGGATTAATTATTGTAGAAAGTACGTGTATGAAATAAAATGAGTTCTTGCAAATGAATAATGCACAGGAAAACATTCGACGCGAATGATTGTGAAAGATGGCCGGAATTGTTTTCAGATTTCGGCAAAATGTTTATCCTTAGAGAGAGAAAGAGAACTTATCCAGGAAATTTCTAATGTCTCTTTTCCTAAAGTCCTCTTTACCTTCAGCAAATGAACTAAACTTGTGAGAGAAAACAAAGAAAACTCTTTGCTCTTTCTAATCCTCTCTGCTATGACATGTTAAAAGAATATATTAATTATTTGATGAGCTGATCATCAACAAATGACAAAGCCAGCTTCTTTTCATTCCTAAACATTTGCACGGGCAAAGATTTACGTCAGTAGTCGATGATTTCCATCCGACATGTATGTGGTACGTAAATGAGAAACTATTCTTATCATATTTCCGTTTCTCATATTCATGAGCATAATATTAAAAACCATTTCGAATTTCACAGAAGTCATTAAAATGGCTTCAACATTATAGTAATGCATTGATAGTTATTGAGATAACCGCGATAGAGCAAAGTAAGCAAAAACGTCTGTTGTATAATACAACAGATGCTGCTTACTTAACAATTCCGTCACAACATCGAACTATGAGGAACACAAACATTCTCAGGGATTTCTAGATTCAAAGTATTAGCCGGAAGTAGTTATGGACCGCAGATTGCAAACAAAGAATGGATACTGGCAATATTGTCAAGACGACTTCATATGACGATCTCTTAATTCTTACATTCATTTGTTTCAATGAGATAAGTAATTTTAATCCATCGTACTCTGGAAAATCAATCGAAGAGTCACCTGTGTTCCGCGTAACGATTGAATGAAAAATACATGTGAACTAATCAAGGAATAAATGAACCGTTACCCACTTTACATTCGTGTTGTACGGTGAGAAGAAATAGTACTACGAATAATACAAAGTCGACTCCAGTCAGACTATCAATTGACCGTTTGGTTTGAATTTTGTACAATAGTACAATCGGTGCTTTCAACAACATTACTGACGTGTATTCAATTGCTGCTGTTGTTAGTAAAGACAAACAAATGATTTGTTAAGTGAAAGTTTTATTCTTTATTACATTCAATAAATATTTGTGTGAATACATCCAAAGAATTCAGTTAATATTCAATATCAGAGAATCTATATTAATTAGTCATTTTCATGGGATAAATAACTTATAGACTTCAATCAATGCAAACAGCGATATTTCCTCCTTTCCATTCGCATGACTTTGGACATGCTTTGAAAAATAACCAGTTTCCACTAAGATCACATCGGACCACTTGAGCACCATTGTTGAATAAGCACTGATGAGCACCAATAGGATAACAAACACCAAGACTTGTTTTGCAAGTACAAGCACTTGAATCATTGCCACCATAATAATATTCACCGTTCGTGTTTGGCTTACTTGTTGTTGTTGTTGTTGTAGAGGTCGTTTCTTCATCAGTACCTTCATGGTCATGCTCATCGTCGGTATTTTCTGTTGTAGTAGAAGTCTTTTCTTCATCGGTATCTTCACGATCATGATCATCATCAACCGTTTCTGTTGTAGTGCTGGTCTTCTCTTCATCAGTGCCTTCAATCTCATGTTCATCGTCGATACTTTGTACTGTAGTCGAGGTCTTCTCTTCGTCAGTATCTTCACCCTCATGTTCATTGTCAGTCGTTTCTGTTGTGGTAGAGGTCTTCACTTCGTCAGCGTCATCATGATCATCGCTCTTATCGATCTTCTCTGGTTTGGTGGTGGTGGTGGCAGTCGATTTCCTCAATTCATTTGTCTTGTTGACTGCTGCCAAGAATTTTTTAATATTGAAACCTTGAGGATTTTCCCGCATACTTTTGAGTGTTTCCAATAAGTTCTTCGTGTAAGGATCTTCTTTGGCTTTTGGTTTCTTTTCAGTTTCTTCGACGTCAGTATCGTCATATCTTCGTGTTAACTCACTCATATTAGTTCTTGTTGCATTTTCAACGTCAAAATGCTTTTCCGTTCCATTGTCTACAAACGCAAAATTCCCCATGATAACCATTAGAACGATCAAAGCAACAAAATCATACTTTTGTTCGAGATAGTAATATTCATCATATCGGTTGATGACGTTTCCATTGAATTGACCTGAGCTTGTGGGTAGGTAAAACATACCATTACAACGATCAAACATAGAAAAATATCACGACAATAAGACGTCATTTCTAAACATAATTTCAAAAGGAAAATTCATATGAAATATTCTTCTTGGGCTTACTGTTACTTGGCTTGTATGTTTAAGATAAAAATGAAATCAATCACATTCTTGGTGATCTTTATAGGATATGTAAACAAAGATCATATGATTTTGATTTTCATATCATTTCAGTCGGTGGAAACAAAACAACAGTACATCTATATGTAGTTTTATCCAGTCATATTCACTTTTCTTTTTCGTTCGATTATAGTCCAGTATGTACACAGCAAGTTTTCTCCTTTCTTTCTGTTCTATTGTTATGTATAAAATAGATCAACATCAACACAACTTACACCAGCAATCATCCTCTGTAAAACCATATTCAATTCGATCTGAATTTTGCGTGAAGGCACGGAATCAAATATTTGTAGAAAGACTTTTCCAGTCGGTATATTAGATTCTCGATGTTCATTTCCTCCAATGTTACGATACTACACACACACATAAAGAAAAAATTGTATTCGATTGTTTTTTGTCATCTCATTTAATATTCACACAGATACAGAAAAACATAAATTTGATTAATTCAATCTACACAAACAGCAAGGTTTCCTAATCGCGCTTCGCATGTCTTTCGACATTTCGTATAGAGCTCCCATTTTCCACCACGTTGACATGTAACAACTTGAGGATGGCCGACGAAGAAGCATTGTCGGGAGCCAATTGGAAAGCAAATGTTTTGGGTTGATTTGCATGCACAATCATCATCACGATTGTTCGTCTCTGAATATGGTCTACCATAGTCAGAATTGTCGTCAGTTGTTCGTCCGTAGTCAGAACTTTCCTGTGTGTTTCTACCATAGTCCGAGTTGGATCTTCGTCGCGCTAATTTATGAACATCAGAATGACTTTCCGTTCCATTTTCTACAAATTTCAATCTATATAGCAATCAGTATTAGCTCAAACATACCTTTGCTCGAAATAGTAACATCCATAATATCTGTCGATGTTATTTGCATGGATTGAACTTGAAATTCTGACAAAACAAAACATGCCATCACGACTAGTAAGTACGCAAAACCATCTCCTCGACAGCAAATCATTTCTAAATAAAATTTCCATAGAAAAATCCTTAATGAATGTCCGTCTTCATCATACTGCTTTTACGACTTGGTTCGTCTACTAAGGATGAAAATGCAATCAGCGATGTTCTCGATGATCTTTATACACGATGTATACAAAGACTACGCGATTAGATTTCATATAGTTTCAGTCGATAAAAACAACGAAAATTCAGTTACACTCTTTTTCTTTCGACTTCAGTCCGATATGTTTGTTATCTATATTTTTACTCTTTAACGTATATGTGAATGTTCGATATATTCAGTCCATGTGTTACACTGGTAGATGAAATAGTAAATAAATGAGTGTAAATGCGATTTAGAAACATCCAAGTCTAACACATGAACAGCGGAATCATTCTCCAATCTGCTGTCCTCGACAATATGCAAAAACACGATTTTATTTGCTCTTCTTCTCATTGAATCAAATACCACTGACGATACTTTCATTAAAAAGCTTAATTATCCTCGTAAATTAATTTATTTTCTTTTCATCTATTTCAAAATCTTGCATTTACGTACACGTAACTTCTAAACTGAGAAGAATTTCTCAAGATATAACACTGTATACAATTCATACATCAAAATCGATTTCATAGTTTACAGAAAGGAATTCGACCGCTCTCTCTCTCTCTCGAATCACAATTTCAACGACATTTCTTGGCCAATTCCCATTTTCTACCGGATACACACTCAACAATACGAGTACCACCGATAAAATAACATTGTTGTTCACCATCACCAAATCAGATTCCACCCATTGTTTTGCACGCACAATTGCCGTCACCATCTCTACCGAAATCAATTGGTTCGAAATCTTCTTCTTCATGACGATAAACACAGCCAAGAAAATGAAAATACAACGAGACCAGATCATTTTACGCGCGAAGACTTGGAAAATACGGTCGAGTTTCGCGAACTGTGCAATGACGTTTGTAGTCGACATTTTTCACTTCTTTTAACTAATACGCGAGCAGAGTCCACAATAATAATACCTGATCTTATTCGAATCAGACGATTATATACATTCTCTTTCGTCAATCGTATGACAATTCGTCATCTATGCGAGTTAAATGCATAGCAATCATTTGTACTTGTCTTTACGCACATTTAATCATGCAAATATGTATGAAACTCCTTTCACAACAGGAAACACCATACAGAGAAGAAGATGTGTGGTTTTCAAATATGAGTTGCATCAAGTTACCAATACATCTTGTAGTACAGTATGCTCAGTGTAGCGGTGTTCACGTTTCGAAATGATGTTTAATAAATTCAAACTTGTGTTATATTTTATGTATGCCTGTAGTTCATTCAGCTCGTATTATACGGCTAGTTGTGCTTATCGAATTCCCAATTCTATAGTAATGATGATTTATTCTATCTATAAATTAATTTGTCATGTCAAACGAATGGATATGAATATAGCATGTTTTGATATTGTTGCATGCGCACGACGTGGATGAAAAATAGTGACACGTGTTGTTACGATAATCGCGATCTTACTGATTTTTAGTTTTCACATTTAGTTATCCCTTTCATCAAGATGCGTTTTCTCTTCAGCACATGACGAGACCTCAGTTGGCCTTTAGTCTCGTGTTCGTGACATCGATTAGTCATAGTCGATGCACATGTGGTTAATATCAATGATTAGAACACTTTTTTTTTCTCTAGAAAAATATGAAATGACGGACGATGATTGATGAACGTGTATATTTATTTATTTCCTTCGATAGAGAAAGAAAGTGCCGTAAGACGTGAAGATGCCGGACGACTTAAACGTCGAAGCAATTGTCAAACAATTACGCGCTGAAGCGAAGATTCAACGAATCAATGTATCAGTAGCATGCAAAGATTTAATCAAATACTGCGAAGAACATCAATCGAAAGATGCCTTTATCGCTGGCCACAAAAACCAACAAGATGAATATGAAAAATCAAAACACTGTCTTATCGCATAAGCTTGAAATCGGCCATTTTTCGAACAAATAAACAACATTTTTCTTTCTTTATTCTTTTTGATCGTAAATAAATTTATTCAATTTATGAGAAATAATGCACAATTATCACAGATTATGATCATTAACGATTTGTTTCATCCCAATTGTCAAACCAACTATCGATACTACCAAGTAAAATTTTAACGATATACTGAAACAGAGCAAAGGTGAGACACTAATGAAGAAAGAAATCGTGCAACCTACATCACCAAAACTAAATGGAGTATTCTTTCCTCGACATGCTTGAATTTGTTGTCTTTCACTACGATAGTCATCAACAACATCGAGATTCGGAATTCTTTTATCCCAATCATTTAAATACGCCATTGATTGATCATCATCTGCTAGAATAGATCACATCACAATTGACATATTCTCAATTGTTTGTAATCTACCTGTACAAACAATAATTGTAACTGGAATTCGATCGATTGGTTGACGTTCATTTCTCAACACGTGTTCCAACGTTTGAATGTCTGTACGTTCTCTTTCATCGGTTGGTATACCATCAGTAGCTAAGAGAATTAGTAAATTTCGCTCATAGACTTGATTACGTTTGTCTTTAAGTACTTGACGAAGAACAGGAACGATTGGTGTTGCGCCTAAGGTGATTACTCGTAAAGAAAATCACTATTGTTTTGATGAAATTATACCTTCTGGTTCCATAGCGAAGATAAATTCTAAATCTGATGAATTACGTACATTCAGCATAGGTTCACGATTGAGAAAGTAAACATCAACACCATCAGAATCAAGAATGCTCGCTAGATCGACGACGATCGATACAGTTTGTTTCAATTCATCCCCTAAGGTATATATTTCAGTGTGGCACTTATGAAAATAAAAGGATTCTTACAGCGTGTTCTCTGACGTTCATATGGATTGGAGGCGTCACCTATACAAAAAAAACTGTTCTCTTTGTTTTAATGAATAAGAAATGAATCATTTACCAATAGGTGCACTCATAGAACCTGAATCATCGCAGATAAAAACGATTTCATAGCCTTTCAGCTTATACAATCGTTCAGCGAAACTTGGATTAACTAAAAAGATGTAAATAGTCGTGTGTTTAATCATCTATTCCAATTACTTTCATAACGATTAATAAACTGATCGAAGTTAGGCATACGTTCTTGACCTGGATTTTGTCGGTTTACGTTCGTCACCGATTCGTAAGGTGGAGGTGGTGCAGAAGGTTCCGGATTCATTGTTAATAACACTGAGTATACTTAGAAATGATTATTACGACGGCTTTCGTTTGATCAAGAACGCAAGAAATGAAATTTTGTTTGAAAATTCAATCTACCATTGCCATATTGTTCTCGGCCAATCAAGTGCAGAAGATTACATATTTGTTTCTTTTCGCTCAAAGATGTATGAAGTAGGGAGACATCTGCAGTAATAGTCACAATCAGACGAGTTCCTTTTGAAACAATATTCGAAAATCACTACTTTTCGCTCCATCCGAATCATATGGTAATTACTGCGCAATAAATTGAAAGGGTGACTCATCTCCAGAAGCATAGGAATTCGTCTAAATATGTAGCTCGTTATTTTCTGTACATATAACTGATGTTGGCCAAAACAGCCTAATTCAACATTGGAGGAAGTAAGAAGTTCCGATGAAATTAGGAACTACAGGATCGACTATGTATTCAGCAAATGGCACAGTTGTTTTTCATCTCGGGATGAACGACTTCTTGGGAGATGTTTACTTCCATTCAGTATGAAATTTTCAATAACGTACATTCTTCTTAGAGCCTAATTATTAGGAATTGATTGATGTAATTCATGTATGTATAATGCGACTGGATATCTGCACAAACCGCAAATAATCCGGACAGAATTTTAACGACAAACCTGGTGTTCTGCGTAGTATACATACTATTTCTTCAAGCAGTTATGGATAATCCTTTATGACTAAACAAAAAGGTTATCATATTGTTTTCTTCAAAGCACAAACTGTTCGATCAATATCGGGATGTTCCGTTCCCCTTTGTTCAACAAATAATGCTACCAGATCTTCATTCTCATCAACTCAGACATGTTATGCTTACCCACTACTTCTGACAAACGAGACATGTTGTGCTCTTTCTGTTTCCTGCGAACTATTACAAACGTGTGGAGACAATCTTACTTGTCGGTCGAATTTCAGTGTTTGTTTAATCAGTACATGTTGTTCTCAGTCTCTTTCCGTGCCAATTACTCTAGGCGACACATTTTGTAGTGTTAGTAAGTCAACGGCTATTTTAGCTGTTCCAACAATCTTCCGGTCTCAATGTCTTTTTTATAGTAACAATACTGATGAAACACGAAATGTTCTTTACACTCAATCAGCAAGTATTTGAAACTCAACTGACTTTTCTGTCCCACGTTGGGTTCGTTTCAGTTGAGATGCAGGAATGCATATCGTAACACCGCTATCATCAGCTTACTGATGCGATGCAACTTATCGTGAATATATCAATGATACACATCGGATAGAATTGGGACAAACCAAAACGGTTTTGGTTTATTTCTATGATAATTATAATGCGTGTCGCTGACCTGCATCAATTTCGATAACCAATTGTGGCGATTGTTATGTTTATCGCCTTTCTTCATCACCAAATTGAAGTCTTCGTTAGTGTACTGCTTAATAAACATTATTTTTTGTATATTTATCCTTCTATTCGTTTTCTTTATTAAATATATAAAACAGAGAAGTCATTTAAATCTCACCAGAGAACCAATCTTTATCACCGGCAGTTCTGAAGTAAAAAGAAAAGAAAATAGATCTTTCAAATTGAACATGTTTCTTTCTTTTCTTACCGAAAAGGCCAATTTTTCTCAAAATCCTTCATCCACTGCTCATCCGACCACAATTTCAAATCCACATACGGTGGAATGGTTAAATTCAATTCTTTCATTACCATACTCATCACTTCATCACAACGTGCGAATATTCTCAACGCACACCGACTATCATACGGTGTCTTCTGTAAATCTAAACACAATCGCATATAATATTCGGTCAGAAAACAACAACAAGCAAAACTTACTGACAATAACCATCTTTTGTCCGCCTTGTAGATTCATGCACGGAAGTGTACACGCTGGTGAGACTCGCATGGATGTTCCCATACATAAACTCAAATCGCATATTTGTGATTCATGGATTGCTTTGTTCAAACAAACATCAGGCATTGATTGTGTAAAAGCGACCGTTGTGCAACGTAAACGGCCATCACAATCCGGAACTGTACATTTATTTCCTGTCAACCACGTTCGATGTTCATAGCCACTGACATGCTTTTGTCTATAATAGATCTTGCCACATTTTGCACAAGCCTCGCAATTTGAATTTCCGTGCAGCTCAGCAATTTTATCGGGTGCGATTCCACTTTTCAGATGAAGACCGTCGCAGTTTTGCGAAACCAAAAACTTCAAAATGTTTCGCTTCATCAATTCCACATATGCCATATGTGTCAATGTTGGTTCAGGATTTTGAACGGTTGGTCGTGGTAAAACGATACCTCGAGCTTGTGCTGTCCAAACACCCGTTGGTCCACGAAAATCATTGATACCGGCAGATGTTGATATGCCTACGGAAGATTTCGATTTCGATGGAAAAACGACTGATTTCAAATACCTGCACCGGTGTAAACAACAAAATGTTTCGAATCACGAATAAATTGTGCTAAAGTTTTGATTTTCTTTTGCAATTCATCTACATAGGTAATTAGACGAAATTACTGAGGAAAAAGCAACATCAAAATGTTCTACCTGGAGTATCAAAGTATTCTTTAATTTCGTCGTCATTCAGCGCCGTATGTGCCATTGGTAAAGATCTGACAAAAAAAAAACAGAACAGAACGTGCTTATACATTGAGAGAAATAGTTCAACATTTATGTTAGCATGTGTCGTCCATGCTTTACTTTCTACGTCAGGTATTTATATGAAATAAAAACTGATGATAAAGAAAGAAAATAAGCGATGATTCATACCAAATTTCATTTCTTTGCGCAACTACTGACACGTCATCAATAAGAAGTAAGAGAGTATATATTCAATACCTTCATAGTACTATAGTGATGAATCATTGTTGCTCTGTACAATGTGTGCCTATGTAAGAGTAAACATGTTGCGAAAAGAGAAGATTAACGAAGCAAAACAAATAAAATAAACATGTGTCGATGGTTTGCATATATCGGCGAAGAGCCTGCTCTTCTGGAAGATATTCTTATTAAACCAAAGCATTCGATCGTCAAACAAATCGATGCGCATTTTCTTCCAAATCTTCATACAACCTATGATCCACATCTTGGTCGAAAAATGTGTAGTTCGGGTGTAGCTTCTGATGAGCATGGTCCAAATCATTTTACAAATGTCGACGGTTTCGGTGTAGGTTTCTACACGGGTGTTATTGCCGAATTCAATGACGATGCTGTTGACAAGCCATGTGTATATCGAAGTACACGTCCACCTATCAACGATCTTAATCTAGCGTCTCTCTGTGCTCATACAGCAACAAAATGTATGTTCGCACACATTCGGGCTGGTACGGGGATGGCACCGATTGTTGAAACAAGCAATCATCCGTTTGTTTTTGGTCGTTATATGTTCATGCATAATGGAGTTGTAGCGAATTTTTCTCAGATTAAAGTGAAGTTGTTGAGCAGATTATCAGCGAAAGCTTATGAAAACATATTTGGAACAACCGACACCGAGCACGCAGCTGCTCTTTTCTTTACGCACTTAGGTGATGATTGGGAAGCTGAGTTGTCAATTGAGCAATTGAAAGAAGCTATGATTAAGACTCTTCAGGATCTACTTACCCTTGTTCATGAAACAATGCAAAACAATGAAGACGCTCGACTCCATAGCTCTTTGAATTTTGCTGTGACGGACAATTGTCATCTATTGGCAATTCGATTTTCGTCGATGGATGAATTCGAACCACCGTCATTGTACTATTCAACAACAGCTGGTCCAACACTCAATCGAAAGTATTCCGATCATCCTGATGGAAAAGCAACGCGACGAAAATCAATACGTGATACTCATGAGCACGGAAAACATGTTATCGTTGCCAGCGAACCGAATACATACAAAGCAGAAGATTGGCATTTAGTTCCACCGAATTCATTTGTTCTTGTGAACAAAGATTTGGATGTAGCTATTGAAAAAATTCAATTATAACTTTTCTTTTGTATGCACATATACAAGCTGTAGTTAACTTTATTAATATTTGTTCTTACTAACAAAGGATGCGTAATGAATCAATTACAGCGCTTCCGCGATGAGGGCTTAGTTCAATAATTAATGTCATGTTGTTAACAATAGTAGATGTTCGAAAAAATGATATATTGATACTTTGAATAGTTTTTGGTTGGAGGCGATTCTTTCGAACGAATACAAATCCATCGGTGTTGCCTATATCTGAAGTAATATCGACTCCATCAATTGTATAACTTATTTTCCATGCGCTCGTCGGATTACCAATTGCAAAGGCTCGAATTTGAGCAGCATAGTCGAGCCATGAACTGTAATCGGCTACTTGAAGTGTATAATTTCGAGCTGTTCCAACAGGCACATTCGAATGGATAGTCATGTCTACACTGTTCGATTCTCTTACGAACACGTACTGTCCGACTTTGCCCTCATCAATGTATAAATCTAGAGTTTTCGGTATTCCATCTCTATGTTTCAATGCATAAAATGCCATGCCAGTAGTTGAATTCGCCGGATAGTCATTGATTTGTTCTGGCACTGCCGGAATTGATGAATCAGCATATTCGAAAATAATCCAGATATCGGGATCGGCATCATTGTCTTCATGACCTTGAATAGCAGAGATACCAACAGTGAGAAAATCTCTTGTTGAATTGTATGTTGGAACGCCAGCACCATATGGGCATAGCATCACAGCTGCTGATTTACCTAGACGATGGGCAAATTGAACGGCAGAATAACTACCTTCTCGTACTTGTTGAAAATTAATTTGCCAAAACCCCAACGGCCCATCTGTTGAAACACCATCGGTCTGATTGATCCATGCTCGATACTGTGCATTTGAATAGGGTCCAGTACCAGCATTATTCGAGATATTTCCTGATAATGTCCATGGACCAAGTTGAACGCAATCCGGTCGACGACGAACATGTTCAGTTAAGTTGTAATAACCTAAAATTTCATCACGTTCAACAGTCCATCCGTAGTTTTGACTAGTGTAAGTTATGTTCCATCCTACACGATGTAACACATCAATTGCTGTCTTGTCTTTCTCCAATGGCTGATGATGAGGATCAGCATCACTTTCATAATAGGCAGATTTATTTTTAAAGAGTTTGAAAAAATCGGACAACTCATCGACTGTTAAGATATCATCCATTTCGATGAAGTTCACGTAAAAACCATCGACGTTCTCTTGAACATACATCCATTGAGAAGGGTTCGTTAGCAACTGTTGAACAAGTTCAGCTTCACCATAATAAATTCTTTGTTTAGTCGATGCACTCGCCACAAATGATGTCACAGTCCAATAAATTACTACTAGCAGCAGCATCTTCATGCTTGTCTTAAGATACACCTGCAACACGAGGAGATAAGGCCGCCGAATGGAGCAAGGAATAGAAAAATAACCTGCGCTGACTTTGATGATAATATATCTTTGTTAAGTAAAGAGTTTAGAAGAAAAACAAACTTTGATGCGTAACCTCTGTTGTGAGGGTCTCGCAACGATTACCATTGGCAAATCTCCGATAGTTCCGAACACAGAAACTATTCGACAGTTTTCTTCTCCAAAACAGTGGCATCTGCGTCCTCAATATATCTTTATTTGACAACTAATTGAGACGTTTCAACACATGACATCAATACATTTAAATGTACTTGGAACACAGTTGACATTTAATTTATTTTAATCTCAGAAACGAAGTAGAAGATATAAAAACATTGATATCACTGTTTTTCAAGCAAAAAATTCCAGTTTTCAGACAACGCCAAAGTAAAGAGAACTCCTCAAACTTAAAACACCGAGTCACAAAGTAATGCAATTGTTCGAATGTGTGGTGTTAAAGGCTGTATAATTTCACTTCAGAATATTGAACACAATATGTCGGCTTTCTGTTTCCAGAAACTAAGAAACGATAGCTTGAATATTCGACTGTGTTATTAAAATATTGTATTGAACCACACTTTCCTCGACCAGGATCTATAACTATCCCACTAGTGCCTTTGTAAAGCAAAATCCAACTGCTACCAAGAGTAAGATTGTTTCCTTTAGCATTACTGCCTTCTAATGACACAGCAGTTGGATCACGTACGTTAGAGTCATTAGCTGTGCAAATTTTCAACCCGTTGACTAACGTTGGACCACGTTCTAATTCCAGGTATAAACCCGTGTACAAACCACACGCGCTGTCCGGCCTATGTCCTTCATAGCATGGTCCAAAACTGAGATATTTAGTTGACAGAAGACCATCGAATACTTTCTCTGGTGATTCTTCTGGCACGTATTTACCTTCTTCCCTGCCAGGCGTTGCTGCCTTGCTATTGCTACCAACAGATGTATTGTATATACCAATAACGTTTCCTCGCACTGCGTCCAATGGTATTGGATCTAGAAAGCAAGTTAATTCTGGCACTTTACAAGATGTCCTCGGATGAAACATATTGAAAAATTATGTTGAAACTGAGAAGTCAATAAATGGTGGAACTTCAACAATATTCTCAGAGTAGAAACTATACCTGGTTCTGTTGTCGTTGTTGCTGTGGTCGTTGTTGTTGTTGTTACTGTGGTCGTTGTTGTTGTTACTGTGGTCGTTGTTATGGATGAATGAATTTTGCTCCTTTTTAGTATTATTGTTGGAATCAAAACGCCAACGACTATCATCGATACAATCACAACCAATAATATCACACACAGTACCTTTTTTTTGGGATTCTCACTACACATACAAGAAAGCGATCTTGTGCCTCTATTACTCAATACTACTGTACATACTTGAATGATGCATCCGCTTGTTTAACACTTGTTCGACGTGTCACTTGGGAGTCTTTTGAATCACACTGAAATATAAAAATCAATCCAGTTAACAGGATACTACATCAACGTGATAGGTCACATTCTGAGCTTCAATGACGATTTGATTGCTACTGGGCATGTTGTTGTTTTGACACTGTGTGCGTAATTCAGAATTGACAAAACTTCAAATAGTAATGGAATAACACATATGAAGCAGATGTATCGCCCAAGTTAAATAACTAATACTAGATACTGGTTATCGCAAAAAACGTTCAAACATGATTTAGGCATAGAAAAACATTTGTTTTAATTAAAATTGCGATGCTTTCCATGTTTATTTCAGTCTAATAGAAACGTGGATGATATGGACATACGAGAATAACAAAGTGATACGCTTGTCTTGTTCTATTCCTTTCATAAAGCCTCCACACATCGAATGGAATTCCTGCATAGCGCCATTCTATGATGGAACGATGTCGTAGAACGCCTCCAAGAAATGGCAATACTTGCAATTAGAATGTATCTTAGCAGAGGGCTTTAGGATCATATTCGAACTACTAGTTATTTTCATTCGGTTGCTTGGATTCCATTTGAAAATCTCCTCTATTCTATTCTACGGCCAAAATTGTGTGAAACAAAGTTCGAAAATTGAGGACTGGTGTATGTCAGACGGGTATATCCCACAAAAATATTGAAGAGCGACTGATAAATCCTACCCCAAACTGAATCTAGCTGCAAAACAACATGCAAAGAATAATGCCGATTACTTTCATTTAAAACAATATGGCACTGTAAATGCTTTTATTCGAACATCTGCGATATAATTTCCAGAGATGTACGTATATGTACCGATAAAACAACTGATGTCGATAATATCATGACAAGTGAATAATCGAATCGAGCAAGTAATCGTTGAATGAAAGTTATCTATACTCAGTGCGTGAACTTTGCTGCAAATTGCTCGCTACTGCTACTTCTTGACCGTCGAAAAGCAGAGAAAAAATGAAACATATTTTTTCAGCGAGCATTACGGAGGAGGCTCATATCTAAGTTAACGATACCTAGTTTGATTATTTATCGAGCACGTTGAAGAAAATTCTAGTCGGAAGAAAACTCATAGATAAGTAAAAGCAATGTATTCGTTTTAGAAAAATTTAATTTACATATGATCGAGCAATTTTTAACAGATCCTTCTTCAGAAATAAAACGAGACGCATTTCATTGTGATTTCGGAGAACATGACATCGCTTTCGAAAAAGCGGAAGAATCAATAATACTGATGATCTTTGAAACAACTGCATATTGTATGCATAAAGTCAACCATTTCTTCTAATTAGTCATCAAAACTCTTGATTATCAAAAACAATTTGAAGTATATTATCCGGGATTGTTTTTGAATACTCTGGTATCGTTATCACGGCACAGCTACTTGACACATTGTATTCGAGGTTTTACTATCAATTTCTTGAATCGAGTCATTGCTAAAATTGATCGAACGTGTGAAATTCTTCTTCAATCAATGTTGAAAGGCGTATATGAACGAATAAAATTTACTGCAGAATATTTTTCGTTATCCATTTAACGCTCTAACAGTGAAAAATCTTTGATTTTCAATGAACTACACCATGATTTATTTTCATCATGTATTATCCATTCAATCTTATTGCAAAAGGATACGAAAATCGCTTCTCTTGTTAATGAGTAAAATAAAGAAAAATCGATACTGATAAAAATGAAGCAGTCGAAACTCTCAAATAATACATATTGGTATGGAAAACTTCATCATATGGACACTGGATTCTACCGTTATATGCATATGGAATTTTTTCTTTGCTTTTATGTTGGAATTAACCAGTACATGCGTGTTGTTCTCGTTCTGTTTACACCCAAACGTCACCATTAACTTCGATTCTCTCCATCTTTCTAGTTCCGTAATCGATCAAGTGCATACACAAATCTTAACTAGTACGAAACTATAATACATTCCTAGGTTAGTGACCATAGATAGTTCGTGTTTTTTCATTCACTGCGCTTGTTCTTGTATTTTGATCTTGGAAAAAATAAATATGATTTGGGTGTCGAGCGCATGCATCCATCTGTCAGATAGTTGCCTGTTTGGAAAGAACGCAAAGAAAAATCGATAAACTCAATATACAGATAGAATACATATCGTTTGTGATGTTCTTTCAACTCAAACAGCTAATAAACGATAGGCTACTTTGAGTTATTTTAATCGATATGTGTTCTCAGAACGAAATGAGACTGCGATTGTTTGACTTTTCCTTCTTTTCATGAACTCCGAAAGTTTTATATCGACTAATTTCTTTGCCTGCGAACAGGCTTTGATAGATAGAGAACGCGCACAAATTATGATATGTCGGAGTAAGGGTAAAAATACTAGTTGAATCTCAATCCAAATCGAATTCCTCTTATGTAAATTATCACTTTACAATTAGTTAATAATTTCATATCTGTTTCAGACAAATCTAACTGAAATCGACTAAGTCGTTCTCATTCATTGATATGAAAAAGAACGAAGAATTGAGCGAGAGCACTCTTTTTATTTACTAGCTTGATGGCAATCATCTAAATGAAATTGATGATTTACTGGATATAACCAATGATGTGAAAAGTTTCTCTGATCAAGATCAATGCATTGGTAAAATATCATCCATTTCACCATATAAACACGTGTTCTTGATTCTATTCCCGCATCTGTTCATAATTCCAATGATTTACCAACTATCGCGCAAACCAAATCGATTTACATTTTCTATTCAGTGAATTGTGATGGTGAAAATGAAAATGATTGTCAAGAACATGTCAATAAGGAAAATATATTCGATGATAAACAATTACTCGTAAAGAAAATCAAAAAAAAGATATTAATTTACTTTCCAAACGATCCACACCGTTGATGACATTTTTTCAAGAGTACCGATGATAGTCACACAGAGAAATCTTTGAAAGATTTATCAGAACAAAGTCAATATTTCATGTATATACTAGTGAAACATTCCGATTCGGAGCCAGAAAAAGACGATCTAGTGAGTAAATGCCGAGAATTATGTCGTAGTAATGAAGCTCAATTGAAAGTTATTGATGAATTTCAACAACAATACACTTCCGATCAAGCCATTCGATGATATACTCGAGATTGTTTCTTACATTGACTATTAAACGAAGCACTTCATTATCAAGACTTCGATTGATTATCGTAGCGCTACATGAACGATTACAACATCTGAATCGTGGCCAATTGACAAATAAAGACGAATTAGAACATCGGAAATAATCGCAAGGAGGATTATAGTATCGATGAATTCATTTTTATCAACTATACTCGATAGAGAATCAGCATTGATGTTCATTCTCGGTGCGATCGAAAGTGAAATTGTGCCTGTTCTGTTTGAGATAAATATTCCAAACGATACTCGTATATCAACTCTATATGCTGATGTGAGAAATGAAAGTTACATGCAGGATGAAGGAGAGATTTTATTCTTGATGGATTATGTATTCGAAATCGATTCCGTGAGTAACGACAACGAAAATAATCAAATAAGTGTAGTCAAATTAATTGTAACTGAGCAATATGAAGAGAAGGATGGACTGAAACAACTGCTTGATCTTATGAGAATGAGAATTAACAATACTCGTTCAGATACATGTGCAATAGCATATCTTATGCAAGAAATGGGTTACTATGATAAAGCCAGATATTATTATGAATTAGAACGTAAAAATTTGCCACCTCACCACTTTTTACATAGCGCCCTTTATAGCGATATTGCACACATCTTTGACCAACAAGGCAACTATGCTGAGGCATTGAACTATTACCAAAACTCACTTTGAATTGAATTAGAAAGCTCAATAAAAAACCATCTAAACATAGCGACACTCAATAGCAGTACTGGACCAATTTTTGTCACATAAGACAAACACGATGAAGCTCTGATCCGTTTAACCGATGTGGTTCGTATCCAATTAGCTTTATTACCTGAAAATGATATTAAACTTGGGACAACATACTCACATATTGATAGAGTTCACCGAGATCATGGCGAGTTTATTCGGAATCCTTGCCTAAAAATCATCCATCTGTTACAATCACATTAGATAATATCGGAGCAATCCATTTGGATCAAGGAAACTACATAGAGGCTTTAAAGTTTTTTCAACAAGCACTTCAGATCAACTTAGAAATTCTCACAAAAGATCATCCAAAGATCGCCACAGCATATCGCAATCTTGGTTGGATTTATGGCTAGACCAGTGAATATACTAAAGCTTTGACTTATGACGAAGAAGCTGTTAAGATTCAATTGAAATCGTGACCTAAGCATAATCTAGAATTAGGAGGCACGTATGTCAATATTTCAGCTCCACATCAAATGCTGAGTAATAGTGACAAAGCTCTCACTTATGCCAAAGAAGCACTCAACATACTGTTACACCATTTCTCTGAAAACCATCCAAATATTGCAACGATATACAACACTATTGGACGTATTCATCATCATCTTGGCAATAACGATGAAGGTTTGCAGAATTATCAAAAAGCACTTACTATTCAGTTCACATGTTTACCGAAAGATCATCCAGATATTGCAATGTTATACAACAACATCGGAGGAGTTTATCACGCGCGAGGCAGCTACGTTGAAGCTTTGGAAAATTACGAGCAAGCACGGCAATTTGGAACAAGATGTTTATCTATAGATCATCCAGACATGGCAACGACGTACAACAATCTTGGAACAACTTATGGAGAACATGGGAATTATACTGATGTTCTGAATTATTTGCAAGAAGCACTTCGTATCTGGTCAAAATCCTCACTTGAAAACCGTTTACATATTGAATTAGTATATGAAAATATTACTGAAGTTCATAATAGTGAAGGCAAACATACTGAAGCGCTAACAATTAGTTTGGAAATATTGCTTGACACACTTCCAGATACTACACGGATGAATGTCTCCGCAGAGAACTTTCAACAAGTTCAGGACAACTTTGATCTGGGTCTAAAATATTGTCAAGAAATACTTGCAGTTCAATTAAGAGCTTCACCTAGTGAACCTCTGAGCATTGCAAAAACAGATCATTATTTTGGATTGATTCATAAACGACAAGGTAATTATCCTCAAGCATTGACTTATTACTTGAAAGCTTTGGAAATTCTTCCGATTTAACACGAACATACTGGAATGTTTACAGTTGTCAAGGAAATACAGCGCAAGCGTTCCAAGCTTGGCAGACAGGGTTAGACATCGTCACTCGAACATTGCAACCTGATCATGCATTAGCGGTTGGACTGCGAAAGAAACTTCCAACAGTAGAAGACCAGCAAGATTAAGATTTCCTCCAGATGCATGCGTTGAAACGTTGTACATACTATTTATTTATCTTTCATTCGATTTGCAAAGAATCAAACATAGAAGAAAAAGCATTTTCATTACGTAGAACATGATTTGAAACTGTAATGAAAAAAGTTACATAAGGTAACGTACAATTACTTTTAAAACTTGTCAAATTTCAGAACACGCCTGTTGCCCGTATCACAAACATACATATTCATTTTCGAATCAAATGCAATACCTTGTGGGTAAGACAGATGTGTCGTACTTGTACCAATAGTACCATTTCCAGCAATAGTCATGCCTATTCGACTATTCTTACAGAACATCTGGACTCGATGATTATTTCCGTCAACGACATACATGTTCATATAAATATCAAGTTTAACATCAGTCGGATCATGGAAACAACTGGAATTGGTGCATGAAGTACCCGGTAAACCTGCCACAAAAGAACCTTCAACATCACCTACTGCCCAACGAGTTATGGACTGTCCGTCGTGGTTTACTATGAGCAATTCATCTGATTTCGATGATGAAATATGAATGCTCCACGGCCCGTTCAATTGTTTGGCTGAATTACCTGCTGTTGTGTCTCTATTTATTACAAATTCGCTAGTACTCGAATTCGAATCTGTTCGATAGCGTAAAACTCGTTGACAACCTCGGTCAGCAACGTACATAAATGTCTCACTTGGATCGAAGGCGAAACCCCGAGGATAATACATTTGGTTCAACGAACAACCACCTGAATCAGTTGTGCCTGCAATTGTTATCCCACTTGATGTTCCGTTTATGAACTTTTGTACACGATGATTGTTGCTGTCGACTACGTATATATTTCCATGTCGATCAACATAAACATCTTCGGGATAGTTCAGCTTGAAACTATCGTTACCCTTTGATCCTGGAATCCCAGCGACAGTTATTGAATTAGTATGACCTGTCGGTAACCTCCAAACATATGCATGTTCTTTATCAACACCATACAGAGTATCATCCGAATCAATGAACAGATGTGTGCAGGATAGTGTTGACGATGAATCGCTACGTACTGTGCTACCTGCTGTTTTCCAACGCAAACTACTGGACGCACCTAGAAAAAGAAACAATTATTCATTTTATCAAGAGCGGTTACATTGTTTGCATGTTTTTACATGGATTTTCTGTTGTCGTAGTTTTACTTGTCAAGTGAGTTGTGACATCATTGGTCTGCATTGTGGTAACTATTGTCGATGTTGTTTCCGCCGTGATCGTGGTCGTAGTCGTTGTTAAAGTTGTACCGCTATCCAGTTTATTGTGTGTCAGAGTTATGATTATCGGAATCGTGAGAATTGGAATTAGTAAGGCAAATGCTAGAATCACAGTTGGTTTTTGCGTATATATACGTCTAAAGTACTCAATATTTGTCATCGCTTTAACAGTTTTCAGATACACGTACGATATTCTTGTTGCAACGATCACTGTTACATTGCTTTCACCGAATGTGACTGGCATCTTTCAAATTAGTTGATAATCTAATAATTTTAAGTAAAGAGAATAAAAATTTTCAAAAAAAGAACTGATTTTCTCGCATAAACATACCTTTTAGCAGGTCTCGAGGTGCAGAAAACTGAATATTTGTCTGTATACTGCAAAAACACAATCTTACTTTAGTTCTCTTTTATAATAATCTACTTATTTCTATCATCAATCAAAATGTTGACGTGATTTCTATTCGAGCGAATTGAAAAGAACCTTCATCAGTAGGAATAGAAATCCGAAGCAGAAGAAAGGAATTTGTCATCGTTTATTTTTTCTTTCTTTCTACTATTTGGATTTTCATGCGAACGCATAAAGCAAACTCTGTTATAGATATTAGCAAAAGTCATGTTTTCACTTATGTGAGAATATCATTGATCATTACGCATATGAAATAGTTTGACGTCAGTTATTTGAGAACAGAGATCGAGAAGTACCTTTTTTTCTCAAAGAATAGATACAAAAAACAGAGTAATGAAATATGCTAGAACTCGGATAGAGACAGTTGCTATATTTGTCAGAGATCCTTACTCCATCCTCACGAATTTACCAGATCTATCATAGTATTATAGAATAAGCATGAATCTTGTGAAGGAACGATAATATATTCTTCATACGCAGCTATAAGAAGCGGAATCTCGCGCTCTAACGCATGGTAATCATTAATTCCAGAACAACAGTATGAACATGTAGTGGTACAGTTTCAGTTTATTGTTATCATCAAGACAAAATAACTTTAAAAAACGTCCGTGTTCCGTATCTCGTCAGTTATGAGATTTATTTCCGTTTGATTAGCCTTGTTCGGTGCGTTCATTAACCGATTTTTCCATCGCCGTCTAGATCTCTACCAGTAAATAGTTCCATTCGTCTTTTCACTTCATTCATTAGATCATCTGAAAAAAAGCACACACAAACATTACTAAACGCAACATAAGCAACTGTGTTACCTCTCGCATATCCACGACACCTTCCATATTGCGTGTCGTCCTGTTCGTCGCATACGTCTAAAATATGTTTCGAAAGTCAATCAGATGCAGAAAACTGACATGTTGGGCTAGTATATAAACAAATCGTCCAATGAATGTATACGTGCGCCAAGCTTTTCGCAAAGAATAGAACATACCGTCATAATCACTTCCACTGTGTTCCTCACATCCACGATTGTTCGAATAGGCATCACCATCGCAAAGACAGATGTTTTCGTATCTCAGATTTCCAGTCACCCAAGGTTCTTGTCTGCCTTCGGTGTCTTCAGCAACCTGTTTGGTAACTATCGCCAATAAATCTTGAATTTGCAGATTGGGTTTCGCAATATGCTTAAGGAGATGCTTGGTAAATTTCCCGTTATCATCATTTGAAGATTCCGTCGATGATTTACCAGGTGTAGCACCGAAACCGATAATAGTACTTCCTCTTGCAACCATTTTTCTGAGCCCTCCGCTTTCTGTAGTGGCGCCACAGACACCACGCTGGAGTTCATGAGGACGGAAACTGTAATTACGACAACAATCGAGCAGAAACACAACACCAAACGGGTTGCGATCACTTATACTTCGAAGTACTTTTTGTGCATTAATACATCGATCACTCAAGCTTGCACCGTGTAAAGATTTATAGTCAATCGGTAACAAATAGTTTTGATCCTAAAATGAATCGCATAACATCACTGTTCCATAATAAATACCAGTATATGGAACCTATCTTACTTCCAACTGTGAGCCGTGACCGGAAAAAAAGAATAAAACCAGATGATCTTGCTCGATCCGATCAATAAATCGCTTTATACGGGATGTCATTCCGTCCAGATTCAAATCAGTGCCTATGATAACTTCAAAGCCAATATTTTTCAACTTTTCACTCATAAACCGCGCATCGTTCACGGTTTTGTACAGGCGCGAGTCCCCAGGATAGGCACCATTACCGATCAGCAATGCTATCTTACGATACAAACGTCTATTGTCAGATGATCTCGACATCTCTCTCACCAGAATACTTGCACAACTGAACCAAAAACGAAAATGAAACGATGGTTGATGTAATGCAGTGCTTTCGCCTATTTATAATCGCTGAGAGCGAGAGAAACATGTGTTCTGTTTTGCTTCTTTATGTTTATTCTTTCGTCGAATGCTGTACAAACAAAGTCAGAAGCTAAATCGAATACTTGTGCACGAATGTGAGAGCAATTTCGCGGAAAGGGGCATATTTCGCCGTAAAGATTTATTTATTTGTTTGCTTGCCTCAATGAAGAAAATTTTAGTATATTCTTTGTCCATTAGGATCAGCAATGGTATGATTGTTGATGATGACATAAACGTGTGTGCGCGCAAGTAATCATGGCAATCTTTCGATTCTTCTTAGATGGCTGAGATTACAATATGAATCTTTTCTTTTCTCCAGTAAATGTCACATTCAAAAAGGAGAATATTTTTTGTTTGTGACTACTTGTCTTGAATATAGAAGAAACAATCGAAAAAGAAAAACAAGTTTATTCTTCATATATGTTTGTTCCACTGAATTATGAACAACAATCATCCTCGCGAAAGTGGGAACATGACGTTCCTTACCACGTTATTTTTTCGAACTTCCAGCGTAGATGTCCGTTACGAAGCCCGTGAAAAAAAAATAATTGTGAAGGTTTCGTCACGGAGTCCGTAAAAGTGAAACTCCAGGTAAATCAATAGCGTTTTTTTCAGTGAATGAGAATGTAAAATTGGCACTCAGATTAAGTGACGGCGCCTAAGCCTATCCAGTCTTGCTTGAGGGTGAATTTAACTCTAGATTTCGCGCACTTGTGACAACTTTTCTGCTAGTTTTGAAACCATTTCTATGCAAGAGATATCTGAACATCCGGTAAAAATGTTCGAACTCCGGCACGAAATTTTCGAAAAATAATTTCGATTCCGACCATCCGGACACTTTGTCAGATGTTCGAAATAGATGGTACGAAACGTAGTTCACCTGCTAAAGTGAATTACCAGTAGTCCTTTTCTGAATAATGTACATGCATTGTCAAGGTCCAAGTAAAGTATGTGCAATACTCATACATCGTATTTCTGCGATCTGTTTATTGTTGTACATATATTCATTAGAAACCGTATCGAAAAAAATGTGCAAAACTTTCTCATTTTCACTTTATTATGATATCATGAATAATACAGAAAATGAAAAATAAGTGCGATCAATGTTTATATTCGTTATCTCATCGCTTATGAGACTTGTTTACATTGGAAGATTTTGCTCACGATCTCCGTGGGCCGGTCCATCCGCCATAATTATGTTTTATAACGGTCACTGTTTCATGAAAGTGATGTGAGGTTCTACCTGAAGAATAACGGCCATAGATTATAGCTAAGCAAAGCATGAAAGAAATGTTACCTTGTGAAAATCCATGATATCCACCTAAAACATGTTTTGAAGATGAGAGTAGATAAACAGGTATTTTCTTCTCAAAGGTATTTTTACAACAACGTGTCAAAATCAAATCGAACGCATATTTATGCATATCGTCAAGTTCACTTTTCTGTTGCGTGAAAACACTGCTGAGAAGAAGAGCAGAAATCATCCTTACCATGATCTTCTTCATGACTTCCATTTTGTTCCTCATGATCGCCATCACTTCCACTTTGTTCCTCGCGATCAGAATTACTTCCACTTTGCTCCTCACAATCAGCATCACAAAGGTAGATGTTTGGATCTTTCAGCGACATTTCTGAGGAAGGTTCCTGGGCTTCATGGGTTTCTTCAAAGACAGCATTGTGAATGACTATAAACAAATCTTGAATTTGTTTTCTAGGTGTTGCAATATGTCGAAGAATATGCTTTGTGTACATATTGTTTCTATCAACGTTGTTTTCAACTGTTGATTTGCCACCTTGGCAGGCGTAACAAATCTTAATACTTGGTGAAACGCCGGGTGCAGGATCGTCTACAACAGAATACGAAAGTTAGTCGCCTTACAATCTTGTACTGCATAAGGTTGCCATGTATCAGTGTCTCTTGTTCTTTTACATGCATTTATACCTGATCTCGGTTGTTCAAACTTACCTGAACGTCCACTCTTCATACCAACATGTGTTGGTTTCCGTGAAACATATTCGCGAGAACACTCCAATATAAACACAATAGCATGTGGACGACGTTTGGATATGTCGTCAAGAAGCCATTGCGCATTGATCGCATATTGATTAATATTACTATCATTTATGTTTTGATTGTTACAGGGCAGTAGAAAATTATGATCCTAGAATAATATCATTCTTCCATGATCTTTTTCACGTTGTGACTTTCTCTTACTTCCCATTGCTTTCCATGTCCGGAAAAGTAGAATAAAACCAAATCATTAGGTTGAATCGCTTGAACAAATTGACGTCTACATGTTTCCATGTCTTCAAAATCCATATCTGTACGCGTGACACCTTGAAACCCAATTTTTTTCAAAGCATTGGTCATATCAGCTGCATCATTCAATGGCTTATGCAACGGATTCTTTCGGTAAGCAGCATTACCGATCACCAATGCTACCTTACGACGCGAACGATTGTTGCCAAATGGTCCCGACATCTCTTTCACCAGAATACTTGCACAGCTGAACCAAAAACGAAAATGAAACGATGGTTGATGTAATGCAGTGCTTTCATCTATTTATAATCGCTGAGAGCGAGAGAAACGTGTGCTCTCTTTTTCTTCTTTATGTTTATTCTTTCGTCGAATGCTGTACAAACAAAGTCAGAAGCTAAATCGAATACTTGTGCACGAATATGAGAGCAATTTCGCTGAAAGGAGCATATTTTCGCCGTAAAGATTTATTGATTTTTTCAGGACTGGCAAAATATTTCCATCATCTGATTGACGTCCAGAGTACGGTGTGTGAGAACTGCATAGACAGTAGGAAAAAATGTTTACCGTCACTTTTCCTGCAACGAAAGAAAAGGACGCAGTAGCATTGAAATTTATTAGAACGAAACGACTTCAGAAGAAATTCAGGATTAATATCTATCCGTCTCTGTTCTTTCTCGCTTTATTATGCGTGAAAATTACACGTCGTTTTTTGTTTTATTAATATGATGCAAGAAAAATAAACAAAAGGAAAATAATATCAATCAGTGCAATCTATTTGATTGAGTTTTACTGATAGGTAACTTAAGACTATTTGCTTCGCAGAATGATTTTAACAATCCAATTTCTTTTGTTAACGAATCGACGGTACTAGTTAGCCGTTGATTTTCTTCGAGCAATATTGCTAATTGTAAATCTCGTGTTCTTTTTGTTTCTTTAGCTTTCTCTCGATTTTTCTGTACCGCTCTATTGTTGTTCAATCGTCGACGTTGGTATTCTTCCGTATATTTGAGTACTTTCTTATTTCCAAATCGAGTCCATTGAGAAACAGAAGCGATATTCGATCTGGACTCATCTGAAACGGAGTCTAATGATGAGATCGTATCGCTGTTGTTGGCTTCACTTGGTGGCATCTGCATCGAATCGTATTGATAAGTGTATGGATCAGTAGTAGAATTGGGCAGCTCTGCGAGTAAATTATCGTTAGTAAAATCACCTAAAAACTTATTGAATTCCGGATCGTTCAAATCAACATTATCAAGCGTCTCTAAAAATTCGCTGTCTCTGAGAATATTTAGGTTGGATGATAGTAGATCAAACGATGCTTCAGTATAAGAGTCGTCTGCCAGCAAGTTTATCGCCTGAAATGTCTAAATAATAGACAGAACAAATGTTATTTTGGCTATTAGTTTTAAAAAAAGGTTTGATACTTACCGAATTTGTTTCGGAAGGAAGCCTTCCGGTATTGATCATTTGTGGTGTATACGACATTGAATTTGATTCCGGATGACAACATAGTATATGTGAAGTTGATGAAGGAACAGGCGAGTCTTGCTGTGATGAAGGTTTGTAGCCGAAAATGCCGAAAGTCACTTTGAAAAGACGGTTTTGTCTGTAGACGTAGGTTTGCAATTTGTCGAATGAAACGTATGAAAAAGAAGACACAGTATTTATTGCGAAATTACTACACTGGGAAAAAACACAGTGATATCTTTTTTTTTCTCTTTTCTTCCTGTCGTTTATGATGCAACGGCGGTTGGGTAATAACATCCATGATTCATACAAATATTTGTCTCATAGAGAAAAATACTCAAAGAACGTCAGTGACTTTATTTTCTCTGCTGATTAATTTCTATATGAATTACTTTGTTCAATCATATTTTCATTCATAGAGCACCCTCTATCGTGAGTTTTGATTGTACGGTATTTCATCACGATAGTTGAATTGTATTGAAAGATACACGCATGCAGAGAAAATATCTACAACCGCACATGCTCAATATATTAAAACTCAGATTCACCTGTTAACGTTGAGGGTATATCATATAATCAGCACTTTCTATTCTGAGTATAATAATACTTTTATCTTGACCTTGGCCAGTGTTGATACCTTTTGATATAAAAGCAGCCGAAAAAAGAAATTAACTACTATACTTTTTCACCGCTATCTTGCAAAATGATGAAATACTAAATGCCTCGGTTGTTATTTAACTTTGGTTTGTTCGTTTTCATACTTGGTTGTGTGGCTCATGCACAACTACCGTCTCCATTCGATGTTCGCATCGATCATTACAAAACAGGATCAATTCATGATCTTGTAATAAATACACCACGACCTCGATTTTCTTGGAAAATTTCAAATAATAATGAACCGTCCCAAAGAAATATTGAACAAATAGCTTACCAAATCCAGCTTGAGTCGATAAAAGTTTCAGCAAAAGATAATTTATTTCAATGGGATAGTGGACGAATTGTATCGACACAATCTATCCATGTGCCATATGCAAGTCGATATGATCTATCTGCTGGAGCCCGATACCGCTTTCGTTTGCGTATTTGGACTAGTATACCGAATGAGTCCAGTGAATGGACTGAATGGATTTATTTTCGAACGGCAATCTTCAATTTGAACGAATATTTAACCGACAATGCAAATCTTTTATGGATTGGTTCGACGAAGATCAATATGAATGAATTACGAAAAGAATTTCTAGTTCCAAATACAAGTCCAGTTCGTTCGGCAATTGTTTATATATCCGGTATTGGTTATTATCAGTTTTACATAAATGGTTACAATGTTGACCCCAGTCGAAAATTAGATCCTGGTTGGACAACGTTCGAAATACGTACATTGGTCGCAACTTTCGATGTGACATCAAACATTTCGGTTGAAATCTTTTTCCTCTAATTGAAATTATCTTTAATTAATTTTATCATTGCAGGCTGGTATGAATGCTGTAGGAGTGAAACTTGGAAACGGTTGGTATAGTGGAGAACAACTAGGAATACCAACTTATGGTAACAAACCTCTTCTACGATGAAAGTCATCATTTTGAATTTGTAGGTCCGCCTCGTTTACTTTTTACTTTGAATATTACGTTTCAGAACGGTGAACAGATGCAAGTTCTCAGTGATCAAACATGGTCTGGTCGACAAGGATCTATTCTACGCGATAGTGTCTACAATGGCGAATCGTACGATGCACGAAATGAACGTGTCGATTGGGCACGACCCGGATTTAATGATTCATTATCTGCTTGGATCATGGCAGACTCGTTACCATCTCCAGTTAGTGAAGCACGTAATGGTCAATTAGTATTGCAAGATATGCCGCCGATTCGAGCCGGATTCGATGCATTGCATATTGAAACAGATATGTCTAACCATGAGAGAGATTATTTGAAATCGATGAACCTCAAATACATTCAAGGTGCTTCGTTCAGAGATGGACGTGGAAGTGTATTGAAACCAATCAGCGTATCTCAACCGACGGTTGGTAAGCTTTCATTCTGACGGGAAAAACTCATTTGTTTGTTGTGCTGAATGGGTTTTTTAGGAATACATACATTCGATCTAGGTCAGAATATGGTTGGCTGGTGTCGAGTCAGATTACGCGGTCTCCGTGGTGTAGGTGTATATTTTCGTCATGCGGAGATTTTGGCACAGCCACTACATTCCACAGGGTAAGTAATATATATTAATATGTTAGTATTTATGAATTCAATCTTCCCGTTTCAGTCAGTCCACCGGAGGAATATACACTGAGAATCTGCGCGGTGCTACACAATTTGATACTTATATCCTACGTGGAGATCCAAATGGTGAAATTTATGAACCGACGTATGTTTAATTTTTGATGACGATATATGTAGTTGTTTGATATTGTAGTTTCACTGTACATGGCTTTCGATACTTCCAAGTCTCTGGAGCACCAAACCCGCTCACCGTCGATGATGTTGAATGTCCTGTCGTGCATAGTGAAACAGTTTTGAAAGGAAACTTTATTAGTAGCAGTCCCATTATTAATCAAATTCAACATAATATTCAATGGGGTCAATTGAGTAACATTATGTCGGTACCTACAGACTGGTAAAATTTTCTTAACCTTACCTTTTTTTGGTCGAAAATATCATAATTAATTTTGCATTTTACTAGTCCACAACGTGATGAACGACGTGGCTGGATGGGTGATGCTGCACTCTCAGTCAATGAAGCCTTGTACAACTTTGATTTAATCAAATTCTATGTAAATTTTCTGAATTTAATCTGCGATGTTCAACAGAGTAATGGAGCTATACCCGATGTCGTGCCGAATGGCGGTGGTTACCCAGCGGATCCTAATTGGGGTACTGCTTTGCCAACAATCACTTGGCAACTCTATCGCCATTATAATGATAGTCAGATTCTATCGACTTATTATGATCATGTTCGTGCATACGTCGAAAATATACGTGGTGGCTATAATAACACAGGTCTCGTCAATCTTGCTTATCAATTTGGTGATTGGGTTCCACCACCACCACAACCGATGACTAATGAGCATCTAATCGCGTCATTTGCTTTCCTTCATGATGTGTCTATTTTGATTAATATGTCGCAAGTACTTGGCAAGACAGCCGATAGTCAAGCCTATTCAGCATTCTATCAACAACTTGCCGAAGAATTTCATCGCGTTTTCTTCAATACAGCAGCGAACTACTATGCTGATGGAATGCAGTCCGCTCAAGTTCTGGCTTTAGCATTACCTAATGTCGTTCCCGAGAATGCTCGAGTAACCGTATTCAATCATCTACTGAGCGATATTAGTGCAAAAAATAACCACGTGTCTACTGGCATCGTGTCTACTGCACAGTTATATCCACTTTTATCTGACAATGGCCATCATGATCTGGCAGTCGAACTGATTTCCTCTACAACATATCCATCGTATGGTTACATGTTTACGAATCCATATGAAAACGCTACTACGATCTGGGAATTATGGGACGCACCATCGGAAGGACCTGGTATGAATTCACGCAATCATATTATGTATGGCAGTGTTGGGGCTTGGTTCTATTCACATTTAGCTGGTATTGACCTTTCTTCCACAGGAATTACTATTAGACCACGTATGGTATCTGAAACAAAAAAACATCTATTAAGTAAAATCAACTGCCAATTAAGTACGCTCTATGGTCTTGTTCAAGTATCTTACACACGTGACGAGCGTGATACAGTTGCTAACTCGATTTTGATGAGCGTCATCATACCGCCCAATACACAAGCAAAAGTTGTATTTGAACCGTTATTTCCCGGCAGTCGTTGCATTACATTGCTCGAAGATAATCAAACTATTTGGTCATTAGCTAGTGCAGAGTTCACTCATGTTCGAAACTTTGCAGTCGAACGTGATACTAGGACCGACTTTATGACAGTTCACATCGGATCCGGGCGGTATGAATTTCAAGTTGTATGGCAGTAAATACCGGTTTAGACAAACTAACCTTACTCTTGCGATTTTGTCATTTCTATGGATGAGATAAAATTATGATTATTCTGATAAATTAGCGATTATTTCGATTGTTCACAATATTTCTAACTATGGATGAGAATACACATATCCACATACCCTTTCGATTAGTGCGTACGACTGAAATCATCTCTTGTACACATTTATGTAAATGGAGGTATCGCACACGGGAAATTTCATCTTTCTTAGAATATAATGAATTTTTTAATTCGTGTTTGATAATTTGAGCATAAGCAAGTTAGGAAACAAAATATTTTGATAGTAATACGAATACTTTTTATACAAGAAGAGAAGCTTGGCAAGCTTCTACCTCGGCAATGTCTTCTCGAATTTCAACACATAAAGGATGATCAACTGATAATGTTTGATGGAGGATAGTTGATGCTTCTTGATAATAATTAAGTGCTTGGGACAAATTTCCGGTGTTGAAATGATATGTACCCATATCTCTCAAAGAACCAGCTAGATCAGGATGCGTCGATGGAAGACATTGACGTTGTATTGATATTACTTTCTGGAATGCTTCTCGGGCTTGATCCAATTGCCCAATTAGGCCTAAAATAGACCCAATATTTCTTAGACTCGATGCTACCATAGGATGAATTGTTGGTAAACATCTTGCCATTATTTGCAATGCACGTGTAAAATAATTCACAGCTTGTTGTAGTTCATTGCGCTGTGCATGAATCGTGCCGATATTATGCAGACACATAGCTATATTTGGATGATCGTCTCCATTATACTCTTGTTGCCACAAAATGAAAGCATTTTTATACTGCTGTAAAGCTTCATCAAAATCGCCATGCTTACGTAGCGCTTCGCCCAGCGCATTATGTGAATAAGGCAAATGTGGATGATTTGAAGGAAGCGTTTTCTGCCTTAATTCCAGTCCACAACGATGATAAGCTATTGCCTGCTCATAATTCCCTTTGTTGCCAGCAATATTGCCTAGATGCAAATAACAACCAGGTATTATAACTGGATTGGGATGGTTCTGTGCAATTAGACGTTTGAAACATCGTTCAGAAGCGTCTAACTGGCTCATTTTCCACAGAATCCGACCCAGTTCATATAAGTTTGTTTCATCATCAATCTGTTCTTTGAGACTATCTAGCGATGGCTTCAATTCACTATCATTGTCGCTGCATAGATCTAAACTAACAACCCAAACATTTGTATGGATATCAAACGTAACTTGAGCAATTCGAAAGATAGTACCAAGCATAAACAATGTTTCTTCTTCATCTGGATAATAACTCAATGATGTAATATTTGCGAATGGTTTTGCACCAACTAAGGTTTCGTCGATTTGTAAATCGAATAGAACACCTTGAAAACCTTCTTGTGCCTCGGCAAACATAAGCGCTGCGTCTCGATTGATACTTGTGGATAAGAAGCTATTCATGGAAAGAAAATTACCAACATTAGCTTTAATCCATTCCACTTCTTCTCGTGATATGGATTGTCCACGATAAAGATGAATAACCGATTTCTTATTTACCCTTCGGGCATACATATCTTCCAACTGATCATGAATATCGATAATAATACGGCGAAATGCATAGAGTGTGTCCATGTCCTTCTGTCTTAAAGCTTTGTTGAGCATTCGGTAAACGAAACTGTTACGCGTATACCATTTGACAGCATTTAATGCGACATAAGATATAGAGAATTCATCAATCTTCTGTTTTTCGTGTCCATCTTTGTCATACTGCTGATAAGCCACATTGACAAGCTCCTGTTTCGAATCGTCAAAATCTTTCATGCGCAAAAGTACTTCGATAAATAATTGAAACCATAGAAAATCACCGTTCAGATCAGTAGAGGATGTTTCCGATTTTTGGAAGATACTAATAGTANATGCATCTTTTTACGCACAGAAAAAGAATGATAATGTTTGGGAGTACTTTGCATCTAACACATCGTTTTACCATTGCTATGATGATTACTATTGACAAAAAGATCGTAACTTAGCTCTTGATTTCGAACAGTCATAGATACAATCAATTTATACACTGTCACAGTATCTCATATACAAATCATCGGTCTTGCTTTAATGTAATGCCGTGTTCGAAAGCAAAAAAGGTAGAATGCGTATGCATCACCACCTGTTGGAAGATAAAGATGTATGTGAAGTAAACAGTTCAACCTTTATTCATGTATATGATCAAATAGAAAGAATCAGAATACACAAAATCATTCAAATAAACGTATAATCACGCAACAATCACTGCCAGGATAGTACAATAGGAAAAACTGCAAAAGATTTGAAACAAAACTCGTAAAATCAAAATGAAAGTTTTGTTCAAATAGTTGTCCTAACAAATCGAATTGAACATAATAAAAAACACATATTAAAAACTACTGATCGTCTTTTTTTTCTTTTTAGATTGACTTTGTTCTCGGTATTCTTTCCCTTTTCCAGTCAATTCACGTCGTCTTTTACTCTTCGAACTCGGTGGTTCCGATGATTGTTCGACATTTCCTGCTTCAATTGTTCTCAATGTAGATACTATAAAGGATAATGTTAACATATTAGATGAACTATAGAACAGCGACTATAGACTTACAGTTTTCTTCATCCGAATCATGCTGATCATTCCCTGAGTTGAACAAACGACGGCAATGCTGTTTCACAGGTTGCATGATTGCACTTTCATTGATTTTCACATTATGATTACTATATACTTGTTGTAAAATCGATTGTCCATATGGAGTTAGATATTTGGCATTTTGAGTATCAACTAAAAAACATACATGTAAAAATATCCTCATTCGAAATATTATTAATCTTTAGATCCTTTTGTCTGTCTCAATTACTTTCAAAGAACTCTCAATTTGAATCAGCCAATTTACGAAAAATGAAGTGAATGACTAATCGTGACTAATAGTTTGCGAATCATCAACGTTATGCAACTTACTGGTTTTTAACGTAGCATAATAGTTGTTGACATTATCAATTCCAAATATGGATAATTCCATTGAAAAATCCAATAATTCTGATTGACTTTTCGGAATTTGTTTGAGAAATGATTCGTAATAGCAATGCTTATTTCCCAAAACATTTGTTTCCAGTGACAACAAACCATAGTCAATCAATACTTTACATGCTTTCTCAATATCGTCTATATTGATTTTGCAAATCTTATTCAACTTCGTTCGAGAGATAACAATTGTGTTCGATAATAGAAGCTTAT